CAACACGACCAACATGTCAGGCTAACCCCGAAATCCCGCATACTCTGTCAGCGCTCCGCCCCACTGCGCTCCTGACCGCCTGCGCAAAGCAAAGCATACAGCCTCCGCTGTGGCTCCTGTCCGCTCCGCTCTGAGTTCCTTGGAGATGGTAGAGGGCATGCGTGAGATGATTAAATTCAAAGCAGCAAAACATGCGGAAATTATCCAGGGTTTCCGCGGATCATTAAAAATAATTACAATTCATTATTTTTTTTGATTTTTTCATTAATTTCATTAATTTTTGATGGGATTTCGGGGGTAACAATCAACATGTACCAAACCGAAAACCGTGACCACGGAACCGTGAACTGAACCGAACCGTGGATTTTGTGAACCGTTCCACCCCTACTATTTACATACTGAATCATCACCTGGTCAGCTGGTCTCTCAATGCAATTGATCACATTTTTTTATGGGAAGACAGGGAAGCCCTCCTGTCCAGACGGGATTATTTTCTCTGGAATGGATTCCTGGCAGAAAAAGAAAATTGTGTTCCTTTTGTGTACATATCTGGATTTTGATAGCAGGATTTCTGCTGTTTGGAGTTAGTGGATTGTGAAATTTGGTAGATCTTGGGGGCTCTTTTGGCCATTTTTAGGCTGCCCGGCATGTATGAGTGGATCTGCAGAGCTCAGACTGAGATGTTAGTCCCTCAAAACCCACCGGTTCGCCGGTGACTGTTTTTATAGCATTTATAACTAATAACTCAGAATGCATGAAAATTACAATGGTAAAATGTTTACCAATATAGACATGTTAGACATCGCTGGGAAGCTTAGATTCTCCACGCTTCAACCATCAAGTTCATTTTATGGACACAGTGCCCACCAAAGCACAATTGACACAGATATGGCAGCATGTCATAATGTAAACATGACAAAGCAGCCACAACAACATACATTTGAAGGCATCCTGAAGCAGTTTTATAAATCCTTAATCTTCAGTTGTTTATACTCCATTCATCCATAAGGGTCCACAGATTAAAAGTAAACCAGAATATTCCTAATAAAAATATATTCCATGATGAGAAAATCGCCACATAACGTCCTTTTGTTGACATCAGAAAAGTTAGCTGGTCATAGCTAATGCTAGCTAATGCTTAGCATCTAATATTTACTTCCTGATACTTTTTTCCTCAGTAGTTAGTTTGCGAAGTTTGGTATATTTCCTTACATAGTCTTCTTAACTACAAGACAAAAGTGTCCGCATCTTTGTATAACTCGATTTGAGTCAGGGACAATTCTTACAAGCGCTCCTTGCCTGTTAGCCAATGATGCACAGAGTAGAGCGATATTATGCCTCATAGAGTCCTGCTGTTATTGGTTAAAACCATGTGGGCTGTTTGGCTTAGTAGCAAATGAAATAAGGTTTCAAACAAGGGTAGACATACGTTACCGGCTTGCGTAAAAGTGAAACACACAGCTTAGACTGTATCAAACACGCAGTTTGATAGGTGAATAACAACAACGGTCCGATATTTTATAAAGTTTGGATGCTGGTTTTGTTTTATTACAATGCCTAAGTCAGAAAAAAACAGCTCAGAAAAGGAACTGTGGCTTACTTTAGCTTGAAAAGCAGCAGTTTCTCTATTTTTCATAGATTTTGTATGTTATTTTAGGTATATAAATGTTACATGTTGTTATATACACTGATTCTAAAAAAAGGGGGAAAATACCTGCTTCATAAATATTTTGTGGCCATCAAAATACTTCAGTGTTATTCTACTGGTACATTTGGAGAGATTTGGAGACACTGGTGACACCAAAAGTTTAAAGCCCTCTGAAACTGTTGTAGCTAGAGGTCTGAAATTTTCTGCATTTGTGGTTGACATGATGTAGAGTAAATGTAATACAATGAGACATGCCTATTCTCAAGCATATCTTTATTACTGTTGTTCAAAAAATACCTATTATTTCCTAAATAAAAAAAAAAACATTTAAGTCATGTTTAAACTGATTTAGCTTAGGCTGTGTTTTATTCACCCAATTTTAATTTGTATTTTCAGAAACTAAAAGGTCTAAGCTTTCAAATGTATCACACATGTAATTTGGACATACAGTTCCTCGGTAATTTGCTTTTCCATTTGGGTATGCAAAATCGGCAAGGATTACTTCAAATGAGGTTGGTGTTAAGAGGGAGAAGAATTGTAACTTGGATTTGATCCTTGCTTAGGATCGCTGGCTTGCGGTCTGGAAGAATGAAGCGTACATTTTTTCTATTGGGTCTGACATGGTGAGTAACCAGCAAAGGAGACAAGACGTTCCCTTTAGCTTTAATGTGTCCTGTGGTTCTTATTCTCATAAGTCATCCTGGCAGACTTGGCATCCAAAGTCATTCCTTGGGACTAAAGTTGGTCCCAGCTCCTGAGTGTCCCATCCGACTTCTCGTTTGATAATTTTAAATAATCAATAGTTGGAGCCCTGGTTCTTATGCTGTAATTATCTGGAACAAACTCCCAGAAGACTATTAAAGTGCCAAAACCACAAGTTGCTACAAATCCAGTTTAAACCTTGTTCAGAGTTGCTGTTGACTCTTCTACTTGGACTGTTAGCTTAAACAGCCAAATCCGTCTATCTCAGCTATATCCGTCTATAAATCCAGATGAGGCTAACCCATTACATAGATTACAGGCATGTCTTGAAGACATAAAAACCTGGATGACTTCTAACTTTCTGCTCCTGAATGCAGACAAAACACAAGTTATAGTCTTTGGACCAGAGTCTTTGAAAGAGAAGCTGCTTAGTCAGTCATTTCATTTGGATGGGATTAAACTGATTTCAGATAATAAAGTAAAAAATCTTAGTGTTATTTTTTATCCGTACCTATCATTTAAATCCCATATCAAAGAGGTTTCTAGAATTTCCTTCTTCCATCTGTGCAATATTGCAAAAATTAGAAATATCCTGTCCAGATGTGATGCTGACAAACTAGTCCATGCATTCATCACTTCAGGCTGGACTATTGCCATTGTTTACTATCAAGAAGTCTGCAAAATTTAGTTAAAAGACTTCAGCTGATCCAAAATGCTGCAGCCAGAGTTCTGATGAAAATGAAAAAGAGAGATCATATCTCTCCTATCCTGGCTTCTCTTCATTGGCTTCCTGTTAAATCCAGAACAGAATTTAAAATCCTCCTTCTCACATA